ATTTTAAGTGTAGCAAAGTAGCTGAAAATCTGCATACTTTCAAAGTAAATTATGCATGAAAGTTTATTAATTGCATAAACTTCCTGAGTGGCTCCCATGCTGCACTAGACTAGGTCTACATGCTTAATATTCATATTTAAAAAATTACAGCTTTAAGTGATTGAGCATGAAAGACCTTGAACAACTGTACTTTCCAAATAGTCACTATCTCTGCTGAGGGTATGCTCTGGACCACAAACCTCTATCTTAATACTTAAATTATAGTGAAAAAGAAAATAGAAAGATGACAAGCACACATTTAGGAGTTTAACACTGGCACATTTTTTTTTATTTTCCTCAGAGCCCAGTTTCTTCCCTTCTTGCTTGACTTATAGCCTTTTTGTTTGTATGCTTTTTAATTAAAAAAAATTTGTTTCAATTACAAAAAAAAGAAAGAAAGAAAGAAAAAGAAAACCTTCCAGAATGGTAGCTGCTGGTTTATATACTTTTCCAGCTTTCTCAGGTGAAAATAACGTTAGTGCAATTCAGTTACTATCCCAGGTCCTGGCTTCTTTCTCCATTGGCTATCAAGGTCCCTGGCCCATGTTTGTGTTCATCCCTCACATAAAAAGACTATTTCGAAGGTGACTTGGCTCCATAAAAATTTAATATTAATCCCACGTCAAAGGATTTTACTAAACTGAGTGTCACCATTTCACAACCTGGACTGGCTTTTTTTTTTTATCATCCTAGAAATTACATTTACCAAATCAATGGCCTTTTTTACACACTCTCCCTTTCTGATTCATCTTCTAAACACAGGAGAAAATTAAGTCCCCCAATAAATTACAGATTCAAAAAATGAAAAATCTATTCTAGAAAAATGGCCTGAACACCTCAAGTATCTCAAGTTTTTCTGAACTGAAGATTAAATAACTGAATCCCAAACTGATGATATACCTCAAAAACATACTTATGGATAATGACTGAAACACAGTATTAACTAACTCTAAATATGCTACAGTGTTACAGAGTAAACATGTGATACAAGGAAAATACAGCTTATAAACATTTGCTGAGTTTTCAGGGAAAAAAAATGGAATACATCATTTTAATCACTCATAAAAGACAGCAAGAAGAAAATCAATGCCTCCATAAAATTTAGAGATTGAATAAACAAATAAAACCTTTACCACACATTACAATTCAACTAAAAGGACACAGACATTTTAAGGTAACAAAGTATCACTGCAGATACCTGGCAGTAAGCTAATAAGTTGAATGACAGATTATTATTGTAGGGTTTGTCAAATATTTCACTGTGGTAGTTAAAGCAATTTAACCTATAGCCCTTTAGGCACACAGACAAGAAATGCATCTCTAATAAG